TTAACGCACACCATACATAATAAGAAAGATGGTGTTCGCCTGCGGGTAAGCACGTAGATGGCGAGCCTAGGCCGAACAGAGATGGGCTGCACAGAGGTCGCTTTCTTTAAGAGAGAGAGAGAGAGAGAGAGAGAGAGAGAGAGAGAGAGAGAGAGAGAGAGAGAGAGAGAGAGAGAGAGAGAGAGAGAGAGAGAGAGACGGTGCATTTGCAGTGCCACTGCCCGGCAAAAGCGCCTACACTCTCTCTGACGCGCACCTCTCTCTCTCTCTCTCTCTCTCGCGCGCGCGCCCACCCATATCGTTTTTTTTCAAATGATCAAGTCTAGCATTTTTATTTTTCCTTTTTTTTCCCTTGTTTTTTGTTTTTTTTGCCAACTACCGGTAGGTGTAGACTCACCCAGGGTCGGCCAACCGGTAGCGGCAGGGTTGGGCCTTAACAACCGGAGGGTACTGGTGGTTTAAGGAGTAAAATTCGACCAAGGGCCCTAGCGTTGCCAAAATGTGTGTGGAAAAGCACTTGGTCAAACCGAGTGACCAGAGGCTTGAACCTCCGAGGGCGACGCAGACTTACAAATCTGAAGGAATGAGGACAACGAACTCGATTTCGTAGTGCCTGAACGGAAACGCACTTGTCAAACCGATGAACAACATGAGCACACCTCTGAGGGCGGCTCAGGTGATAGAAGTAGAGGAAGGGAAGAGGATAACGAACCCAATCATGGAGTGGCTGAACGACATGATTCTCGCCTGGACTTGGCGGAATGGTACTCAGGTTATGGTACTCGTTCCTTCAGATTTTTAACCCTGGACTTGGCGGAATGGTACTCAGGTGGGGGTTAGAAATTAGAACATGCAGAGGAAAGGAAAAATGGAGCTCAAATGAAAGAAAAGCCTTCATCATGGACAGAACAGCCATTTGATGATGTTGTGCTGAAAGAAAGGCGTTAAATGAGGTTGTGCTGAAAAAACTTCAAAAAAGCCATTTATGCTGTTGAAGGGGTTTGACATAGTGATGAAACCCCTCAGCTTGTGTTATGGGATCCAAATGCGTGCTGGCTATCTTTTCACGCTTGCATGTCTGCTGCATTCTTGGTGCTTTCTTCTGCATCTTGCATGGATTTCATAAAAGCACAAAAATACTAAGGTAATAGTTTGAAATTTGAATTTTGTAATTCTTAAAGCCAAAGCAGGCTGGAGACTGTGTGCAACTTGAGCAGCAGCCATAGGTTTTTAGAGAAGGCAATGATGGTGGTTTTTCTTGTTTGCCTAACTTCTGTCCATCTCTGACAAAACGTTTTACAAAACGTTTTGGAAGTTTTGGGGTTGTAAATTGTAATTTTGTAAGGGCAAAAAAAGTTATGTTAAGCTACCGCTACGTCCGTGGCTGTTTTTGCCAATCTGACATAGAGGTGTGCAGTGTGCACCAAAAAAATGTGCACGTCATGACTTTTCTTTCTGCTTGGAGAGGGGCCAGCCATCTTGCTCCGCTAGCCCCAAGTCTGTGCATGTGATGCTGTGTGTGACAGTGTGTCATCCAAATCCAGCATATAATCAAAACATGCAAAACCCTGCTTTGGAAAAAAACAAAGAAAAGAAAAGCAATTGTTTACATGCTGGGAATCAGGCCCCGCGCACACATTTTGTGAGGCCTTAAGAAGGAGATTGCAAGCTTATTTTCCCAATGTAAACCACAAGCTGTTGGCCTCACATGGACGTACGTGCAGAAGTTGTATCGTCGATTTTTTAACCTGATGCTTGCCATGTTTTGTACAGTCGTCAACAGATACTCTGTGTTTTGTACACTCATCAACAGATACTCCGTGTTCCAAACACTCGTCGACAGATACTCCCCGTGGTTCGTACACTCGTCATCAGAGATGTACGGTTTGATTTCGTACGTGTGTTTACATGTGTGATTATCCTGCAATGGGAAATTCAAATCTTAACCAAATCTTGCACATGCCTTTGCATGGATGTATGCGTGGAATACACGGTTGCGTGCTGGAGTGAGTGTATAACGTTCGTGTACTTGCACAGTTACGCATATGTACCTGCATTGTGCGTGCATTTGTACGAGCTTGCAACCTTGCACTTCTCTTCCCCTCCTCCCCAAACAAAACACATGCCATCCTTATGAATGTATTGAACACCTCACAGATGGCTTATATACGTCATGATGATGACAAGGCCCAGAACACTCCTTATATATGTCATGATGATGACAAGGCCCCGAACACCCCTGAACGATGCGCGACCTCAAACCACCACTCCATCCAGACCTATTATGACAAACCAAAAGTTGCATTTCCTGAGCCTAAGATTTACATCACCGCCGTGATCATGGCGTGCAGGATGATCCCTGATGATGGCTTGTAACACAACCAGCTGAAACCGCCCAAGTAGGGTTGGACACCTTGCAGATGCTTTTCATCCGTTTTGCCAGGGTACGCTGTCATGAAGATTATTTTCTCAAGCAAAAGTCGCATTCAGGATGCGTTCCATCTCTCTCTCTCTCTCTCTCTCTCTCTCTCTCTCTCTCTCTCTCTCTCTCTCTCTCTCTCTCTCTCTCTCTCTCTCTCTCGTGCGCGCGCGCGCACGGGCGCTCGCTCACTCTCTCTCTCAATTGCATTCTGTGTGGCTCTTAAGTTTTTGCTATTGCATGATTGTTGTTGACATCAATGCAGGCCTGCATGAAAGTGTGTTGGTTTCGGACTAACGAAGACTACCGTACGGCACAACCTTTCTTTTTCCCTTCTTTTATAGGCTACCAGTTGTTCGATGGCAGGACAGCCAGGGGGGTCCCCGACGTCCGGGCCCGGACAATTCCATTTTCCAATGGGCTGCGTCCTCTGAACGTCATGTTTCTGTTTTGCCGATCCAATGCAGGCTGAGAGCAACGAGGAAGCAACGAGGAAACGTTGCAAAATCACCCCCTACCTCAAAAATGAGGCAAAAATGCAACGGATGAACAGTGGAATTCGAATTCAAAAATCAAAAGAGGTACTAAGCCTTTCTAGAACGCGGATTGGTTGACACCCCAACCACGAAACTTCACGTGAAGTTTCACAAACAGGCGGGCCGTGGATATCAATATCCATCCACAGACTGTATGTGTCACGAAAGGCCACACCTGATTGAATACGCCAGGAAGTCATTCTACAACGTCTCTAGTGGGTTCCGACCCCTGTCCCGCAAACACTTAATAGTTATTACAGTTAGTACTTCATCAGCCACGGGACCTCCTCCATGCATGCACAGATTCAAACTGGCGCCCTCCGCCTCAAGAGCCGAGCCTCTTAACCCCAACTACAGCCATTGTACAGTGTCTAGACAAAAAAAGCCCTCATAGACAGGCAGATGGAGACAGAAAACACGATCACACTTGACCGAGATAGACAGCAGCAGACCTTTGAACCATCAGTACATTTCCCCGGGATGCATGCTGGCGCGTGTTGGGCGGGATGCACCAGGGTGCCGTTCCGCCCGAAATCCGTCCACAGGCAAATCGGGGCCTGAGGAAGGATTTCGGACGAAACGGCACCCTGGTGCATCCCGCCCAACGCAAAATGCCTGAGAAACTTACTGGTGTATTGGCAGGCTCTGCCGATAAGTACATCCATGGTGTGAAGTGGCCGCCACCAAAGCACACGCCAGAGCAACGATTGTAAGGAACACAAAACGCTGGAAGCTACGGAGAAGAACAGAAGCATGACACTAACCCATGCTGAAGAAGGCCAGCATTACCCACAAAAAAACAGAAGCAGACCCATGCTCCCTGCAGAAACACGAGCACAACGCCAAGGAAGAGGTGAATAAAAAAACAACCGCTAATGAACCAGATCATCTCTCAGGAAGTAGTCACACAGGCCATGAAGAAAGCTGACCTTGTGAGTTCACATCCCTAACATGCCATTTAAAATGGCAGAAAAAAAAAGGTATGCCGGATGACTAAGCAGAATGGAAAGACACAAACAGCATTTAAATAGAGACTGTTTCCGTTGAAGAAAAAAACTTTAAAAGAGCCACTTCATTTAAAAATTAAAAATGATTCACATGCGCACAACCACCATGCCACGACGACACGAACTCCCTGAGCGATTTCCATACAGACAATCGAAAGAAAGAAAATGGGTTTTCCAAAGAAGGGAGGAAATGACACAAACAGGGCTTGGCAAGACACTTCTCCTGTGTACCACGACACGACATGGCCAATACTCCTTCGATGTTCCTAGTGAGAGACTCCTACAAGCAGTGCGTACCACACCACAACGTACAGCACCTCTTTTTCAAAAGAGGGGAGGAAATGAGACAAACAGGGCGCAGGTGGGAAGCAAATGAGTCTAATGACAAAACCAGTGCCTGACTAGACACTCCTGCTTAACTCTACACGACGGCGGCTGACACGCTTCCTCTGCTCCGACTCCTACGAAGAAAATATGTCACACCCAAAAATTCACCCCCTCCTCTTCTCCTTCCCTAACCCTCTTCCCCCCCCCCCCCCCCCCCCCCCCCCCCCCCCTCCTCCTTCACTGCAAACCAAATGACCCCCCACTGATTGTCAACCACTGTTTAACATGCAGAGTCCGGGAACCACAGGGCTCTCCGTTGCCTGCAGTGGGTCTGCTGTGGAGGACCTTCTGGGCCCATGGAATGAGGGGGAAAAAAAAAAAAAAAAAAACTACGCTACACTTTTAGAAAAGATGGACAGAAGTGTGGCCATACATGGGCCATAAACATAAGAAATATTGACACATCCATGCATCACTCCAAAACGCGCAATGTACCAAACACGAGCGCGCGGCTACTGCATACGCAATGCTCGAGGAAACCCGCCACCGACTCTCTCTTTCTTTACGTTTCTTACACGACTCCTATTGAGGCAACTGCCACAGGCATGGGGTGTTCCAACTTTCTCAAGTAGCACATCTCTAGTAGTAGCCCACTGCGTGAGATTTCATCGTTGACAACAACATTGACATAATAATACAATACAGACATCTTAGAGCGCACTTAGAAGAGAACCATACGCAAATACCATCTTATCTTCTCACCCGAATAGAGAGGGTACGCCATACAGGTCATTACTTACCGCTGAACGAACGTAGACCAGACGTCGTCCCAAAATACAGATACACCGACTGCACGTTCCATTCGGGGAAAAGACGGTAGAGAGGCATAATACTCTAACACTAGGACTTGGAAACCACTTGCACGATGCTAATCATTGGAAAGCAAGAACCTGAGCGCAATTACGGCCAGGTTCATGCTTTCCAAGTTCCAACCACGAACATTGCACCGGCCAGGCCTGCACCTTACAAAACCAGATTCACTTGGAAAAAGTCCACCAACTGTGAGATTGTGCTCTTGCCGCTTTTGACAAAAGACTTACCAAGGTCGGTGGTTCTCGTGCTCTGATTGATAGTAACTCTATACCTTTTTTTTTTTTTTTTTTTTTTTTTTTTTGGATACCTGTTCCATGACGCCTGCTGCTTTCCTCTGCCATGACGACAGTGCGGCTCTCAAAAGGAGTTTCAAAAAAAAATGATTCACAATTCATCATCTTTTCCAACTAGGACCTGCGCCCTTCGCAACAACGAATAAACAGCATTGTCCGAAGCGTTTGCAGCAGCGGTTATTTCCGTCTCCCCATCGCCATCGACTTTCAATGTTCTGGAAAAGGTCGACAGCAAATCTTGCAAAAGCACTTTTGTTTCCACATCCAATTCTTTCACCGCACTGTCTCCTCCCTCTCCGCTCTTCACAGCAGCATGACGCTCTTCCACCTCCTTGGCTTTTGCCTCCAGTTCTGTAGCTCTCGCTGCTGCGCGTTCCAATACAGACTCTGGCATACCTGTTTTTCTCCCAGAAGAAAGCACAGATATAAAGGAAAGTTAATAAACAAAACCTTGACTTGGATTGAAATACGCATTTAATCTGGTGCAAAACTGCAAATATTTTTCTTCACCCAAAACATTTCTTCTTTTATTTCCTTATCCCCCCCCAAATGCGGAGTAAGTCCGAGTAACTTGAGCAATGTCGCTGAGATTTTGTTTTTGGATTTTTTCACCATCAGAAGTCGGGGTACTTGGAATTTTGAACATGCCCCAGGTACTCCGCTTGGGCACAGTCGCCCAAGAGGGGTTCTCTCACCACGTCTCGTGGCAAAACAACAACTCAGCTTGGGTTCAATTGGGCTTTTTTTTTTTCTTTTAATCTCAACAGGTCATCTCAAAAGGGATGGGTTGGCCAACTGCAGCCATTCCCAGCTTGGATGCATAGGACAGGTGGAACCTAGAAGCGTGTGAGTGAGTCTAAAAAGTTCCATGTCAACAAATACTGCACACATTGCTCTTTATTCCTCTTCATTTTCTTTACATCGAATCGGCATAATTTTTTTTTTCTTTTTTTGTCCTTCGGGACATCGATTAAAATTAGAACGATACAGAGAAGATTAGCATGGCCCCTGCGCAAGGATGACACGCATAAATCGAGAAATGGTATAGGCTACCAGCCAGGCCTCCCGGGTCCCGGGTGGCCAGCCCGTGCAAGGATCAAGGAAAGCTCCAGAAAAAAAAAAAAAAAAAAAAAAAAAAAAAAAAAAAACCGAAAAAAAACTATGTTATGCAGAAAAATCAATCGAACAACTTTTGCCTCAGGGTGACATCGAAATTCTTTACTGAATTAAAAATAAAATATAAAATATAAAAATATATTTCATTATTTTTTTATTTTTTTATTTTTTTGGCCCAGCCGAGGAAGTGATGGAGGACCGACGTGTGCGTGTCGGCATTCCGGAATGCCGAAAGCAACGGAGGAGGGTTAGCGGAAGGGAGCGGCGGGGTTAGCGCTCGGCAAGTTCGGTGGATGAACCCCCTGATGAGATCGCCTGGCGGTGATCGAAACCGGTCGGGGAGCCTTTTTTTCGAAATTGACAATTGACGATTCTTTTTCAATCATTGAGTGCGCGACTACTTGTTTTCACGTGTGTGTGCTGTTGCATGCATCTTGTGTGAACTGAAGTGTGGGATTTATGTATCCTTGACATACATATACCCGGGCCACTCTGGTAGCCCAGGAAACGGTCCAAAAAAAAAAAAAAAAAAAAAAAAAAAAACTCTTAAATTTTAATGTTTTCCTCCACTTATTCCCCCTTTCACTTTCCTTTCTTTCTTTCTCTTTTTTTTTTTTTTTTTGTTTCCGCGCACTATCGTCCTTGCTATCGTTCCCAAAGTATTCCTTAGCAAACAGCCGCCTCACTATTGCGAACGATCCTCTGCCCCTCTACTCATCTTTCTGAACAGGCACACACACACACACACACACACACAAACACAGAGGCAGTAGCCGCAGTACCATCATCATTGGTGCATCCCCCTCACGAAGGACCAATTCCTCTTCCTTTCAGGCAACGAAACTGGCCGCACAGACAACATCAGTCATAGGGAGACCACCATGCCTTTGCCAGGGGAGGGACGCTCTCACAACTGCTTCAGTGGCTGGTTCAAATCAGCAGTGCACACAGCACACATGCTGTGCCAAAACATGACTGAACCAAGATGCTATCAAACCTCCTGAAGACCTACATCCCACAACGAAAGAGCTCCATGCCTGGGAACTTGGGACTTTTGGACTGTGGGCATAATGCTATTCAATCAATTTCAATTTTCAGCCATAATTGCGTCCTTTACCTAAATCGGTAAACAGCACTATACCTCCGAGTCGTCTTTTGCCCAAGGGGAGGAAGCGGATTCTCCCTGCGCACCAAAACAAAACGAACCACCACTGGTGCACTTTTTTTTTTTTTTTTTTTTTTTGCTGGCACGGCCAGCCATGTTGGTCTGGCAGCACCATTCGTCCGAAAGAGCCCCATGCCACATTCTTATTCTCAAGTTTGCCTGGCTGACGTACTGGTGGCTTATGCTCACAGATGACGACCTTTAGGTGAGATGGAGAAGGCGGAGAGTGGGAGGAATGACAGGGAAGTGGACCATCGAATGCAAATTTCGTCAAGCATGGCCCCAAGGCCGCTGCTCTGACCAAATATGCTGTGCATTGACAGGTTGTACCGAGTATGCTGGAGTGGCAATCACGTTATCAACCCTTGAAATTGAAAAATTCCGACAAAATCAACAAGATCATCAAGCTGAAACATGTACACAAATGGCCAAAGAAATACCATAATTTCAAAAGTAGCAATTGCAAACAACCAACTGCAGCAGAGGCTTTCGCACATTGTGTGGACCAGGCACGAGAAAAACTCCACAACAGCCACAGAGAGAGAGAGAGAGAGAGTACATAGTTGAGAAAAACACTCAAAACCCTGAACATGCAAGTAGTTTGCTGAAATGTGTGTGTGTGTGTGTGTGTGTGTGTGTGTGAGAGAGAGAGAGAGAGAGAGAGAGAGAGAGAGAGAGAGAGAGAGAGAGAGAGAGAGAGNAGAGAGAGAGAGAGAGAGAGAGAGAGAGAGAGAGAGAGAGAGAGAGAGAGAGAGAGAGAGAGAGTACATAGTTGAGAAAAGCACTCAAAACCCTGCACATGCAAGTAGTTTGCTGAAATGTGGGAGTTGAACAACCACCTCAGAGATATACCTGCCTGGTCACTCCGTATGATGAGTAGGAGGTTAGTACATTTGCCCAGAGCTGCTAATACACACATGCTACATTCCCATAACTACTGACGCGCACATTAAGGAATCCAGCTGCTGTATTCAGACTCCCCCCCGACTCCATCAGGTAATTCCCGACTCCCTCCTTTCTGAAAAGTTGTGTAAAATTTTCTACGAAACAATGAACCAGAAAAAAAACACAAAAGAAATGTGAAAAAAGACTGTACAGTGTACACAAACACCACAACAGCACTTCATAAAAAGATAATGGATTTCAAAATTCAAACTAGGGAGGCTATGTCAAAAGTGAGTGACCTGCAAGGCGAGCGACGTTGAGTCCATAACTCTTGGGGCAAGCGCCTTTCGCAAGCTTATATAGAAATGTGACCTCTTCCACAACCTTTGAGTTGCTTTGGTCATTCCTTGAGGCAACTTTACATGCCATGTGATGCAGAGATACCTGTCGTTGCAAAATAAATAACAGTTTAGTACACACAATAGAAAGATAAGTAAGCACAGGACCCAACTGATTATTTGAAGAGCGGATAGCCCAGATTGGCACTAGTATAATTTTTGTTAAGTCCCTGTTAGTGCATCATCTGATGCAATTGGGATTCGAACTCGTGCTCTCTTCATCAACAGTTATACGTGTGTTATCATATTTGCTATACACTGTATACAGTGTATACACTCAAAAAAAGCATGACTGTGCCAGAAAGACTGTTTCGTTGGACTTTCACCGAGTCATCAGGAGGTTGAAACCCGACAGTCTGTCTGCCCAGGATGCATTTGACGGATAGATATGGACTCACCACATCGCCCAGAGTGAATGATATAGTAGTGTACCATTCAGCCACATGGTTTAAAGTTTAAACTTCAAACCGCCGCCAGTGCATGGTCCCAGGCAACTGGAGAACCTGTTTTAACTTTTAAGCCTCTCCGAAAATTTAGGAGGCTGAGCGCCGTAGATAAAATGAATTGGTGGTGGGCGGCCTCCGAAAGGGGCCCACAACCAATAGCTGACATGTACTGGTGCTTTAAGCTCCATTTTATTCATGAAGTTATAAATAGAAACATGAGGATTCTACCAACGGGTCTAGCTCAGTTCGAATCCCCATGAACTGTTGAAATACAGACCCGAGTTTGAATCCAGATACAATCAGATGACCAGAATAAAATCGTTCTGAATTACCGGGGGCAGTCAATGATATCTGAAGGCCATCGCCGTTTAGTTGTAAAAGAAAAACTAAAAAGACAAAAAAAGAAGAAACATGTTGATTCTAAATCCAAGCAACCAGCCTGCGCACCCCGCACGCTCTACGAAACCTTAAGATCGTACCAGCCCGATGGGATCATCTGGAACTGGATAAGGAGTATTACGGATACAGATTTGTGCTCTTCCAAATGAGGACTTCAAAAAAAAAAAAAAAAAAAAAAAAAAAAAAAAAAACAGCCCGTATGGGAGATAGGGGCGCTGATACGAACAGACGCCTCTATCTCCCCCGGGGGGGCTCCATCTATTGGTGGGGAGCAGCACCTGCTGGAAATCGGTTCCAGCATCCCTTACATAACAACCAATTGTTTCCGACTGTCTTTCAACCTGCCAGCATTGATTACCCTGAAGACAGGCGATTGACTGAGCAGGCTCAAACAGGGAGGAAGAGGGGCCCCAGCCCCCATGTCTATGCTTATAACGGTCCCTCCCTCACTCTGCCCCATACCATTGAAGATCCACCATATTTATATTTAATATTTATAATGTTAATAGTAGTATTTTTTATAATGTTAATATAGTAATTTTTAACTTTTTATATTAAAACTGTATAATAAAATTCATAACCTGTATGCTCTTTAATATATACAAGTGGACCCGCCGCAGCGACGCTGTGGTGACGGGGAAGGGGGGTGATTGATCAACTGAGTTTGTGTGTGTGTGTGTGAGAGAGAGAGAGAGAAGGTCCCCGTCCACCCCTCCCTCCCCCACCCCTTTCCTTCCTTCCTGTTCCCCCTTCAGCTCCTCCTCCCGCTCCTCCTCCTCCACCCACGCCTTCCAGTTTCCCGTCGTGCCCCTCCTCCTGCTGCTTCTCCCGCTCCTCCACCCACACCTTCCAGTTTCCCTTCGTGCCCCTCCTCCCACTGCTCCCCCCGCTCCTCCTCCTGCTCCTCGTGTTCGTTAACCCCCTCCCCGTTTGCTCTCCCGCTCCTCCTCCTGCTCCTCCTCCCGCGCCACCTCTGCCCCTTCCCGTTTCCTCTCGCACTCCTTCTCCTGCTCCTAACACCCTCCCTGTTTGATGTGGCTTGGCCCACAATCTGGTAGTCTTGTTTTTTTTGTGGAGTTGTGTACCCTCCCCAGGTGTCCCATTCCTCATCGTTATCCCCCGTTCTCCTTCACCTCACCCTTCTACCCTTTCTCCTCCATCCAATGTTCGCCCATTGTTATTCTCCATGACGTTCTCTTTTCGTTCGTCTCTGAAAGAGGGAGGCCATTCATCCCACTCCTCTTCTCGCTCATCGCCCTCTTCCTCTCGCACTCCTCCTGCTCCTAACACCCTCCCTGTTTAATGTGGCTTGGCCCACAATCTGGTAGTCTTGTTTTTTTTGTGGAGTTGTGTACCCTCCCCTGATGCTCCAGGTGTCCCATTCCTCATCGTTATCCCCCGTTCTCCTTCACCTCACCCTTCTACCCCTTCTCCTGCATCCAATGTTCGCCCATTGTTATTCTCCGTGACGTTCTCTTTTCGTTTGTCTCTGAAAGAGGGAGGCCATTCATCCCACTCCTCTTCTCGCTCATCGCCCTCTCTTCCTCCTCCACCTCCTCCTCCTCCTCGGCATTTTCCTCCTCCTCCAGCTCCCACATCTCTTGCCTATCCCCCTTTCTCGTTCCCATTCCTCTTCCCCGTCCTCCTGCTGCCATTTCCGCTCCCCCAACTCCCGCTCCTCCTCCTCTCACTCCCTCTCCTCCTCCTCCCACTCCCTCTCCTCCTCCCACTCCTGCCCGTGCTCCTGCTGCTCCTCTTCCTACTCCTCCCGCTCCTCCTCTACTCCTCGCCCTCCCTCCTTACTCTGATCCGCTCTTCCCTCTGTCCTCCTCTGCCTCCTCTGCTTCCTCCACTTTCTCACCCCGTCCTCTTCATCATCCTCTTCTTTCTCCCGCTCTTCCTTTTCCCGGTGCTCCTGCTACCATTTCCCATCATCCTCCCGCTAGCACTCCTCCTCCCGCCACTCCCTCTCCTGCTCTTCCCGTTCCTCCTCCCGCTCAACCGCCTGCCTTCACAAGCCCGGATTCTCGTGCTCATCTCGCACATTTCCTAGCCCAGACATCCGGCCGGCACGGCCCAGGATATAAATGTGGAAAGCTTTTCCAAAGTGCCAGCGCGGTCTTTTTCTTTTGTTTTGGCTGGCGGCGCCAGGGATTTTCTCGGTCCGGTGGCGCCCTGCCTCCGAAGAATGCCACATGGGTTATATTTTCGACTTAGACTTTGCCTGTGAAAGGTAGTGGTGGTTTAAACCACCCGTTCACACAAACTGAAGTAGTGCTCTTACCGGTCGGTATACACAGTGAGAGCATTTCAATTTGTACCTGGGCCGGTAGCTGAAGTGGCAGGCCACTTTGAAAAAGGTGCAGTTGCTGGCTCGTCAGCCTTGGAAGGGAGCTTCGTCAACTTAGGCACCTGTGGACCTGTGGCGGTTTAAACTGCCAGTTCACATGAGCCTAAGTTGACGACGCTACCTTCCAAGGCTCACGAGGCCTTCTGCCTTCGCTATCGGCCCAGGCCCAAAGTGTCATGGCCTTACCTTGTAAAGCGGTAAGAGTCCGACGCAGCTTTGGGCGAACTGGGGTTTTAATGCGAGCAATCTCCGTGCAAACTGGGCACATTTAATGCGAGCAGTTGAAGTGTCTGTCATGATTCAATGCGATCTTTATTTATTTATACAACTTCATACTCCACTTTCTCTACACTCCTTGACATGCAATCCCCTTCCCTGTGAACTGCGTCACCATCATCATCCAACACAGGGCAGCACAGTGGCAACCAGTTTGTGCCCCGGATCACCTGCACAAGCGAGTCCCAATGTCTAAAACAATGCAAAACTGCATACGCATGCAAGGAATCGCGTCCCCAGATCCTCATTCCTTTGCACAACGGAGTCTCCAGAAGAGCAATCACAGTTAGTTCAGTCCGACAATTTCAAGGTCGACAGCCTAGAAGAGCCATCACAGTCAATTATCACGGTCCAGCTAGAGATAGGAAAGGCGGTTCAGAGGCAGGAAAAAAAAAAAAAAAGCCAGCTCATCCTCATAAAAAAATTGTTGAGTCGTTGACCGACACTGCAAATAGTCATCAGTCAAGCACGATAGTGCTCTTTTAACATTCTACACATCCCATGGCATCTGGACCCGCAACAGATTGTCTGCCCATAACAGTCCATGCCATTCCAGCGACAATGACTGTACATAATGCACATTCTGTTTCGGTGAAGATGGCAGTTCCAGAAATCAACGTCTGCCTACCGCCTACCCCAGAGTCCACTCTCACTCGCAACTAACACTGCAGGGAAAGTGCCACAAGAAAGCCTGAAATAGCAGAGGTTTCCCTATATGCCAAAATCCATGCCAAAGTACTCCAGCCAGGCTAGGGAGGACTCAAAGAAAAAAGGTTGGCTTCTAGTTTGCAACACCCTGACACGGTGACACACGTGAAAAAGAAAAGAAGAAGAAGAAGAAAAAGAAGAAGAAAAGAAAAAGAAGAAGAAGATTATAGGGAGTAACACATACAATCGCTGAGTTAACGGAAACTTACTGCTGGGTCATTTTCATGCTCGTCTGCCAGTCGATGGTAGTGAGTAGAAAATAATCCGCGACATCGTGTGTTCTTGGTAAGATGTTGAAGAACAGCATAGCTGCAACAAAGAATATATAGAACATATAAAGCATCAAAAACTCGTTTGTACCCTCTCACGCAAATCAGGAAATCCTTAACCAAGGAAACGAACCGGTTCAAAGGGCAGGAAACTACCACAGGGCATAATCACACTAGGACTTTTTCTCCTGAGCTGTGGACGTGATTACGGTCAGATGCATCTAGATCCGACCATAATTGCAGTAGGATACATTACAGAAAAGGCTACTGTGAGTACGGCCTTAGTGACTTAGGGCGTACTCTCACTAGCACAATCTTAAATCTATGTGGGCACATTTACAGCTGGACCTGCATGCATCTGGTCACAATTCCGTCCACAAATAAGTAAAAAAGTGCCCGTGTGAGTATATGCCCTTGGTCTTTTCTTCGTTTTGCATGGTCAACAAACTTCAAATCAACCAATTCCATAGACCAACCCACTCATCAGCAAACACGCCGCATGGGTTGGTCGATGGAATTGATTGATTTGGAATTTTCATTCTCATTGAGCTCGTTTGGTGAGCAGTGGACCGGCCCCCTGTTCGAGGAAAGCGGCAAAAGGTAAGGGCTGCTGCAATAAATGCGCCACACCCCGCCCTCATCTTGTTTGTTTTTCTTCGTTTTTCATTTTTTCCCGAATGGCGACTTAGAGCTCTATTTCCTGTTTCATCCGCTTGCCCTCCTCCAGCATCGGGCACTGGCCGCGGACTGGTTCGGCAGGGGCAGCACCAAGGGTACTGGCGGTTTAACAAACATTTCACGAGTTCCAACATCCTCATGATAAAAGAGGGTTAGGTGCTAAGTTGCCCAAGCCCTTTCAACAAGAGGAAGAGGGGGGGAGTGGAGGCTTGCCAAAATATCCGCTTGTCCTTTGGGACATTTGTGTGTTAAAATTGCAATTATCATCTACTGATACAGAGAAGATTAGCATGGCCCCTGCGCAAGGAAGTGGAGTTTAATGGATCGAAAATTGGTGTGTGTCATCCGTGCACAGGGGCCATGCTAAGCTTCTCTGTATCATTCCAATTCCAAGTTTCAACGGATATCCTGAAGAAATAGTCCGAAATCCTAAATAAAGAAAAAGACAAATCTGACAGATCCCACCTGGAACCTTAACGACATGGAAAGAACCCTTTCAATCCACTTGAAAGTTGAAACCCAAACGGCATCTAAACAAAAAAAAACTTTCGAAGTTGAAACTTGAAACCTATGAACACCGAACACCCATCTTAAGAACCATTTCAAAATGAAAAGCTAAAACCATACTTGCGGCGCACGCCATGCGCGGCACCTGCGCACGTGCGGCGCAGACCGCAACGCGCAGGCGGCGCCTGCACGACGTCCGGCGCATGACCGAAAATAGGGGTCGAAAAAAAAAAAAAAAGTTGGGGGGKGGGTTGCAGGTGCTCGCGGGGACCTCCAAAAAAACGGTACTGGTGCCGTGCAAATTTTTTTTCGGGCCGCGCCAAGGCCCGCATTTTTTTTTTTTCCAACGTTCGAATATGATCTGTGGCAGAGGCCACAGATCATTTCCCGCCCAGGCCCCCCACATTCAACATTTGCCCCAGGTTTCACCCTCGTCGTTTCTTGCCGCCGTCCAACTCTGGAGCCGACGACGTCCTCCATCAAGCAGCGGGAGCAGGGAGCAGGGAGCAGGGGGTGGTGGCAGCAACCTTCGTCGGTGCCCCGATCCTCCATCGCCGGGAACAGCGACCCAGCGGGCAGCGGGCAGCGGGCAGCGCGCAGCAGCGGCAGGTCACAGCAGGAGGCGGCAGCGGGCAGCGGGACTACGGCCGGTCTTCGCACCACACAAGGTTGATGCTCTCTCTCTCTCTCTCTCTCTCTCTCTCTCTCTCTATTTTTTTTATTATTTTTTTTGCGTTTTGAATGTCAAGTCGTTGTCGACCCTATGGATCGACGCGTGGCACACTGGCGCCGTGGCCATGCCTCTCTCTCCCTCTCTCTCTCTCTCTCTCTCTCTCTCTCTCTCTCTCTCTCTCTCTTTTATTTTTTTCCTCGTTTCGAATGTC